TACACCCCTCCCCACCCCAACCCCTACCCCATGGGGCCCGGATGTCCAGGGCAGCTGTGGGTAACCACTTCTCCCTCCTGGCCGCCAGTTCTGTCAATCCCACAACCTGGAGTACCTCACCGGCCGGGTGTGGGTTGGCCTCTGGCTGGTGGTCTTCGTCCTTGCTCTGGTGGCCGCCGAGGGCAGCTTCCTGGTCCGCTACATCTCGCCTTTCACCCAGGAGATCTTCGCCTTCCTCATTTCTTTCATTTTCATCTACGAGACCTTCCACAAGCTCTACAAGGTGCAGGTCCAGAGAGGCCTTGGGGGCAGGGCAGGTGTGGGTGGGGGCGCGCAGCACTCTGGCGAGAAGAGCGTGGGAGGCGGTGGCATGGAGCATTGGGGGCAGAGGGCCCATAGAGGGGGGCTCTTCTGGGTGTGGCATGGGGGGTTGGGGACACCCTGGGTTAGGTCTGAGCTGAAGGGGAAGGAATCACATCCACAGAGTACTGGTCATAACTCCAGGTTCACCTGCACAGGTGTGTGAAGAAGTGGTCGCTTTCAGTGCTATGGGGCTGGGTGTCCTTGNAGGTCCAGAGAGGCCTTGGGGGCAGGGCAGGTGTGGGTGGGGGCGCGCAGCACTCTGGCGAGAAGAGCGTGGGAGGCGGTGGCATGGAGCATTGGGGGCAGAGGGCCCATAGAGGGGGGCTCTTCTGGGTGTGGCATGGGGGGTTGGGGACACCCTGGGTTAGGTCTGAGCTGAAGGGGAAGGAATCACATCCACAGAGTACTGGTCATAACTCCAGGTTCACCTGCACAGGTGTGTGAAGAAGTGGTCGCTTTCAGTGCTATGGGGCTGGGTGTCCTTGGGTCACCTTTTGTAGAGACGAGTGTGTGTGTGTGTGTGTGTGTGTGTGTGTGTTGTAGCTGGATGTCCTGTGTGTCTAGTCAGGTAGGTGAGGGGCCAGGCTTCTCCCTTGCAGGTGTACTGATGGTGATGAAATCAGGGTCATCTGCCCAGGTGAGCACTAGGTCAACCTTGTAACACACAGGTGTTCACGGAGCACCCACTGCTGCCATTCTACCCCCCTGAGGGGGCATTGGAGGCCAGGCTGGACCTGAATGGGAGTGTTCTGCCGCCCACTGAGGGGCCACCAGGCCCAAAGAACCAGCCCAACACGGCTCTGCTGTCCCTCATCCTCATGCTTGGGACCTTCCTCATTGCCTTCTTCCTGCGCAAGTTCAGGAATAGCCGCTTCCTGGGTGGCAAGGTGCGTGGCTTCTAGGAGTGGAGCCCCAGTGGGACTCTCTTAGTTCCTGCTATCATTGCCAGGCTCCAATCCAGAGAGGGGCTGCCCCCTTCTCCTCGTCAACCCATAGATCTAAACCAAGTCTATGTAGCCCACCCCATCAGAAGCCTCAGAGAAGTCGAATCCGAAGAGGAATGCCCACCTGGGCTGGCCGGCACTCATGGACTTTAAAGGGACAGGTTAGGGAACTTCCTGAACCAGCTCAGACCCAAGCTCTCAGGGGTGTCAAGCCCTCGTGGGTCTCCTGACCCTCACCTCCACCTCTGCTCCCTTCTCCTAAGGCTCGCCGCATCATCGGGGATTTCGGCATCCCAATCTCCATTCTGGTGATGGTCCTGGTGGATTACTCCATTACAGACACCTACACACAGGTGTGTGAGCCCCGACCCCATTCGGCAGTTGGTTCTCGGCCCCGGGCCTTGAGCGTCAGGCTAGGACACGTCCCCATTGCCCCAGCAGCAGAGATCAGGGCTGGGACCCAGCTTTCCTAGTGGGGTGGCAGTAGCCTGCTGGGGCCACACTGGGATGGTGTGGTCTGGCTGAGGAGGCCACCCAGGAGGGCTGAGGCTGTGTGTGACCCCTAGGCAAGACTCCTGGAGGAGCAGGCTGGGGGCAGGATGACAGGTGACCCCACACAGGTTTTCTGGCAGTTCTGGGGATCTGGGAGAAGGTGTCATGTCTCTTCCCTATATTGGACCCTTGTAGGGACAGCAACTTTGGAGGATGCAAAACTAATTACCCTCAAATCTGTTTACACCCCAATTTCCCTGAGCCCTGGTATGGGGGACACACAGCTGGTGGGAGCCGCTGCTTCATGGGTTCCTAGCATGGGGAGACAGCGTTACTGAACCCTGTCTTCTGGCCATGCAGAAGCTGACAGTGCCGACGGGGCTCTCGGTGACCTCCCCCGATAAGCGCACATGGTTCATCCCACCTCTGGGCAGTGCCCGTCCTTTCCCGCCCTGGATGATGGTGGCAGCTGCTGTCCCTGCCCTCCTGGTCCTCATCTTGATCTTCATGGAGACACAGATTACTGCGTGAGAGGGCTGGGGGACCCCGGGGCGGACAAGCGGGGAGTGGTGGGATTGGCGGCAAGGGGGACAATTTCCCTATGGTGCTTTGACATGCCATCTGTCTGGTGCCACCACCATTTGCAGGGTGGCACTTGACAGTCCTTAGAACACTCTAGCAGAGTGTTCTCTCACTCAGCGATGCTCACATTATTTCATTTTGGTTAAATCACAATAACGTGGTGAGATCTGACAGCTGGCTTTTGTGGTGTTTTAAACATCCACAGTGTAGGAATTTGGCTCAGATTTGCTTAAATGTGAGAATGTTAATTCGGGAACTTGAAAGAGGAAGCTGGCAGGTCCTGGGGAGAGCTCTTCTCTGCTTCCCCGACTCCCCCCCGGCTGCTGGCCCACTCACCCCCTCTTGGTTCTCTGCAGGCTCATTGTCAGTCAGAAGGCACGGAGGCTGCTCAAAGGCTCCGGCTTCCACCTGGACCTGCTTCTCATCGGCTCCCTGGGGGGACTCTGCGGGCTGTTTGGGTTGCCATGGCTCACGGCTGCCACCGTCCGCTCAGTCACCCATGTCAATGCACTGACCGTTATGCGCACTGCCATTGCGCCTGGAGACAAGCCCCAGATCCAGGAGGTGCGGGAGCAGAGGGTCACCGGCGTGCTCATCTCCAGCCTTGTGGGTGAGAGCAACCGCGTTACAAGGCCCTGGCTCCGGCCCCACAGACTTGCCTTGTTCGACCCCAAGGTCTTAAATCAACTCTCTAGTCCAGGCTTGGTGCAGGTCCCTTCTGAATCTCCAAATATGACCTGTCTAGTCCCTGCCCTGCCTACCAACCCTGCTTCTTGACCCTCCATGAGCCCTTTTTTCTCCAGTGCTTTCCTGGTTCTCTGTTCTGTGCCATCTTCTCCTGTTTGTGGTGATGAGGCCCAGCTGATCAGTTAGGTGGCCCATGTCCCCTCCCCACCAGGCCCGTCTGTCCTCAGAGCTGTCTGAGGGGTCAGGTGGGTCTGTGTCACCTCCTCCAGGCCTGTCCATCGTCATGGGGGCTGTGCTGCGCCAGATCCCACTGGCTGTGCTCTTTGGGATTTTCCTGTACATGGGGGTCACGTCGCTGTCTGGTATCCAGCTGTCCCAGCGCCTGTTGCTCATCTTCATGCCAGCAAAACACCACCCCGAGCAGCCCTATGTGACCAAGGTGTGGCCAGGAAGCATGGAGGTGGGAGGTGGGTGATGGGGAGGGGTCAAAGGGATCCCTGGGCCAGACATGGACAGGATGGGATGAGTACAAAGGTAAGTTGGGACCTGGGGAGCCTAGTCCTCAGAGACGTGCATGGGAGTGTGGTGAGACCTGACGTCTGTTCCCAGGTGAAGACGTGGCGGATGCACCTGTTCACCTGCATCCAGCTGGGCTGCATCGCATTGCTCTGGGTGGTGAAGTCCACGGCGGCCTCGCTCGCCTTTCCCTTCCTGCTGCTGCTCACGGTGCCTCTGAGGCGTTGCCTTCTGCCCCGGCTTTTCCAGGACAGAGAGCTGCAGGCGGTAAGGGCAGTGCTTGGGGCAGTGTCAGCCTGGATGGGGCATGGAACCAGGGAGACCTCGGTTCCAGTCTCAGCTGGACCGCCTGCTAGTTGCGTGACTGTACACAAGTCACCTAACCTTCTGAAATCTTACTTTCATCTCTGTAATGGAGCAGCTCTACCTTAGAAGATTGTTGTGAGGCTTAAACACTGATCCAGGTAAAGCACTGAGTGTGGTGGTTTGGTGCGGAGTCAGCACGAGGCCGCTGCAGCAGCTGTGCCGGCTGTGCATTGCACAAAAGCTCTGATGAAGTACAAGTGGGGGTGGGGTGGTGCTGACATCCATCCGAGCCCTGGTTTTGTCATCTAGAGGAAGGGACATCTTTTTGCAAATCATCCACCCAAACATGGTCTGCAGAGGTGTACTGCAAGAGCTAGGAGGGTCCCCAAGAAATACTTCATAGGTGGTAGCTGCTGTCATTAGTATTGTTATTAGGAGCTGTCACTGGAGGGGGAGTGACCTGAAGGTTTTGGCTGATGGGAATCGCTTTAATTTGGGGCACAGTCCCTGCAGACAGCAAGGTCTGGGAGCAGTGGCGGTCACTGGCCAGGGGAGGAGCTGGGGAGCTGGGGGTGCGAGTTGTCTTCCTTGCCTCCTCCGACCCTCTGCTCCTTCTGCAGCTGGACTCGGAAGATGCTGAACCAAACTTCGACGAGGACGGCCAGGATGAGTACAACGAGCTGCACATGCCTGTGTGATCCTCCGACACGGTGCCCCTCAGAGACCCCACATCGTAGTGACTGACACCTGGGCCCCATCAGAGCCCAGCCCCAGGGCCAGCGGGCTCCTCATGACCCAAAGAACCACTACTGATACCATGGCCAGAGGGGCCCCCTGACTCTGCCCAAGGCTCTGACCTTGTCTCACCCAGGCGCTTTCACAGACCAGACGGGCACAGGCTTTGAGATCATTATAACCACACCCCTTGTCTTGTGTCTGCCTCATTTTCTTGGTTCCATGTCTGGTTTCTTAGGTCATATTTATACATCTGGAATTGGAAGAATTGGAAGAATTCTATTTTCAGGGTCATGAAAACCGGAGAAGTTTGAGGCAAGGCCAGAATTCTTAGGGGAAAGGGAGAGAATCAAGACCACAGAAGGTCAGAGATGGGCTTTATCATTACCCTTTTGAGCCCCCTCAAATGCAGCTGAGGAGCCAGGAAGCTCAAGGTCTGGCTCAAGGTCACATGCCTTTAATCTGCTCCTGTTTAGAAGGGATGAGTGGGGGAGGGGAGGAGGTGGTTGCTCTGCTTTAGTCACTGGGGAAATCAGAGCTTGCCCAAAGGCTGTGTAGCTACGGAAGGGAATGTCAAACGTTTATCTTTCCCTGATTCTTGGCATTCAGAGGAGCAGGGACAGTAGCCCAATCCCCCAGACGCCAGGGTGGTGCTGGATTTGGGGTCCCTGGACCGTTTTAGATTCTCCCGGCTTAAAAGAGAGGCAGTTCTGGGATTCCGGAGGCCACTCCTTGTGCAACAGTCTGTTAAGCCAGAAATAACCTGGGGCCCTTGAGGAGGGTGCGAACTGGGAGCCCTTTGCGTCACAGTTGCTTGGCAACCGGCAGCGTGGCGGAGCTGGTTGTCTTTGCGTTGCCCTCTGGTGGCCGCTCTCGCACACTGCAGGCTCTGCCCAGATCTGGCCGGAGTAGCCCTGCCTCCTGGCGGACCCGCTGTGGTCAAAGATCCTATTCAAGCACGTTCTCCCTCCGAGCGAGGGGAGACAGACAGGTTCCGTGGGGTTCCCCGGCCCCAGGAGGCTGTGAGCATGCAGAGCCGGGATCCCTCATCCCCATTAGCTGCTGCTGCGGGAGCGGCCCTGCATCTTCCTTATGCTTTCCCCAGGTTGCGCCCAGGTGTTGAGGTCAACAGCCAGGGCCCTGCAGCTGGTCAGGAGAGAAGGGACGGGCTACTGTGAGGCTGTCGTGTTCATAAGGAAGAGCTGCCCCCTTCCTGCTGTCTCGGATTGTCACCCAGGTTTAAGCATTTCATTCCAGTTGTCTGGCTCCCTTGGCCCCTGTGGTGCCCCTATGGCTTCTAACAGCACCTGGCCTCTGACAGACTCCCTTGCCTAAGGGCTTAAGGACAAAACCCCTTTTCCCGGAGGTTGGCCAAGGGCAGGTGGAATTTCAGAGGAACTTTGCTAGCAAAGGCAAATGCAAAACCCTAGAACATAGATGTGTGCAGAGCAGATTCCAAACACAGATGGCAAGGGCGACGCAGAGGACCATGGCAGAGAGGCTTGGCACGCAGGACTCCATTCCTTTCTCAAGCCCTACTTTAGGTTGCCTGGTCCCCCCGTGGGCCTCAGTGTGGGCAGGCTCCCCTGTGTATGCTCTGGGGGGTGCCAAGACACCCACAGGAAGGAACCACTTCTTCCTGAGCCTCTGAGAGAAAGAGGCCACCTGCACCTGGAAGGCTTGGCTCTTCACTGGACAGGGGCTCTGTCAGTCATCTCTGCTTGGCAAATAGGCGAGAACTGCGGGCATTACCCAACTGGGAAATGAGAGAGAAGAAGGTGGGGCTTTTGAAACCGAGAGTGCGCCCTCATCCTAGCTCCTGTGTCAGGGTGGCCTCTAGTATAACTAGGCCCTGAGGCCTCAGAAAAACAGGTCAAAAAATTTCAGCGAAGGGCAGAGCCAGACATAACTTCCGGTTAGTGAACATGTCACCCAGTGTGAAGTACATGAATATTGCCTAAGAGCCTGGGCCCTTGAAGACCACCTCCATGCCCACCTGCCTTTCCCCCCCTTTCCCCAAGGGAAAACAGCCACAATTTAGTTAAGTACCTAAGGCCAGAGTTGGCCAAAACACATGCTGGGCTGGGCCTGCGAAGGAGGGATGCTTCCTCACCCAGGGCAGGGGCCTGTGGAGGCCCTGGGAGGCTCTAAGAAGCTGCAACAACCCGAAAACTTACTAGGGGTAGGTCCTTTGAGGGATGGGAGAGGAGAGTGTCAGTGGGGGCCAGGTTGGGCATCGAAGAGAGAAACATAAGATAACGGGACAATGTCAAACCCATAGACAGGTGACAAGCCTGGCCCGGGGCCTGGGCAATTAGAGATCATTTCATTTGGGGATCTTAGGAGTTTGTCCTGAAGCCAGTGTAGCCCCTGTATTTCCTCTGAATTTCTCTTCACTGACCTTCCAACCTTATCCTTCTGGGGGCTGGGCAGCTTGATGGAGGCCTTCTTCCAGGAGTAGAGGGGAATCCACAGAGAAGCCCCATCCGGCCCTGGTGGACTGAGGGGTGGGTTAGAGGCCATGGTATTTTTGAGTGACAGGCCGCATGGCCATCTCCTTTAGGCTGGAAGCAACTTGACAAGTGGGCATGAGCAAGGTGGCACAGCACCCTTCCAATGAGGAGAGCAGGCCCATTGCCATCTTACCCCTCCCCTGCGGCTTTCTGAGAGGGGGTAAGGCCACATCTTGGGCAGCTGCTCCAAGCTTTCATTATCCTTGGACAAGTTCAAGCCCACTTCAGTCCCAAAGAAGTGCTAGCTTATTTTTCTACTTTGAGCAAAGAGGGCGGCTGGCACTTCCTTGCTCCATGTACGCTGAGGATTCACCTCACACGAGATGTCTGATGCCCTCATGAAAGCTTCTGGCTGTCAGAGCTCAAATACCATCTGCTTACATTGCTCTGGGCCCCTCCTTCAGGGCAGAGAGCCTGGCAATAATGGGTCCCATTTGGCAGCCTGCGTGACATCGCTTCTTGTATTGTATCAGGTGACTCAAATAATGATCATGCCTGTTGACACTTAGAGCTCGCAAAGGGAATTCTGAGCAGCATTAAAGGGCAAAGCAGAGCTCAAGGGCACTCGCACCGAAAGCTGCCTGTACAGCTGGTGCATCAGCCATTCTGAAACAACAAGACAGGTTCTGGGCAAGCCCCGAACAGGACTGAGTCCAATGTGGCAAGTAGGAAACCCAAACTGAGGGGTTTGGTTTCCAGATAAATGCATTATATAACTGAGAGGGAGCCTGCCTGCTTGCATGACTCACTGCTGTACAAAGCACAAACTCCAATATTTGTGGGGTTTCTGTTCCAGAAGGAAGATTTAACATTTGAGACCTCTGCTGGGATTCTTTTTACTTTAGTTGGAAGTATTTCTTTTTATTGGGCAATTCTTTATCAAGTGCTGACTAAACAGACAGCTGTTAGGATGTTCTCTGGGTGGTGGGTGAGTCCCACTTGAATCTGGGGGCCTGAAGGAGGAGTAGGGAGCTCCTGGGACAGGGCTGCCAGGACCATGGGAGGTGAAGGACAGAGAGGAGGGGGCAGATTTGGAGATGGAGCAGGGGCTTGGAGCTGCTGGGAGGATGGGGGCCCGAGGAGGCACTGAGGAGCAGGCGAGGCAAGACTTTTATTTGAGGATCCCTCAGCATGCTTGCCGTGGCGCCTCTCTCGCCACATTCCCATGACTTGTCCTTGTCTGTCTCCCTTCTAGGCCATAAGAAGAGCAGAGGCCCAGCCTGAGCTTATTTTGTATCCCTAACAAAAAACACCAGTGCCTGGACATAGGGGTGTGTGGAGGGCACAGGGGTGACCAGGTGGCAGAGAAGAAAGGACCAATATGTCAAGGATGCTGCCCCACTTAGGACCTAGGGAAAGCCAAGGGTGACACCAGTAGAACTGTTAAAGAGTTCTGGAAATGATCTGATTGTCGTGTTTGGTAGTTTCAGTTACAGCCGTCACTTTCTCTGTGTCTATCAGTAACAACACCCTCAAAAAACAAAGAGGCCTTGTGAGTTCCTGAGGCAGCTGGAGTGAGAGAGGTTGGTGATCCTGCATGTGAGGCTGGCGAGCAGGCAGTGGCAGGTGGGAAGACACAGTGCCACCGGAGGCCCCGGAGCCACGGAGCCAAGGTGGGGATAGATGGGGCGCCTGAGAGACGGCACTGGGACTGAAGCCGTCTCAGCTGCTCATCTCTGTTCCGCTGGTGGTTCTTCACAAGGCTAATGATGGAGGAACCAGAGCGCTTCTTTATTCTGGCTTTTGGAGGGCCCATTGTGTACAGGGATTTTTTGGTAAGAACTTTCCCCAAGGACAGGACCCCTGAGGCTTCCCTTCCCCATTTTCTCTCCTCTAGCCTCTGCTTTCTGGGGCCCAGCCCTACCCCCCATTCCCACTATAGCTGAAAGTTATTGTTATCACTTATCCTTAGTATGGAAATACAAATACATGGTATGTATATTTATTTTAGAAAGGACAGGAACTGTGCCTACTTCTATTCTGTTTACCAAGCAACCAAAGGGCTGTACAGAGCACACTCTAATGTTCAGGCTCTGCGGACTTGACCCTCATTGAGGGTCTTATGGTTGAGTAGCCAGAGCACAGGCTGGGAGTTGGGACTCCTGGGTTTTACCACTAGCTGGTGACCTTGGCTATGGCCCCCTCATCCTTCTGGGAGATTAGGGGTTTGGCTCCAGTGCCTCTTATGTGGACTTGTTCTAGCAGATTTTTTTATTTTTATTTTTAAATATATCTCTATTGATTTCAGAGAGAAGAAGGGAGAGGGAGGGAGAGGGAGAGAAACATCAATGATGAGAGAGTCAATGATTGGCTGCCTCCTACATGACTTCCACTGGGGATTGAGCCTGCAACCCAGGCATGTGCCCTGACTGGGAATCAAACTGCATCTCCTGGATCTTAGGTCGATGCTCAACCGCTGAGCCACGGCCGGCCGGGTGTAGCAGATCTTGACCGCTGCAGTTCCTGCTCCTGGAAGGGTGGAAGGCAGGAGGCTGTCATGTCAATCTCTGGGTGAAGTTACTAGGATTTAGAACTTTTTCCTTAGTTTCCTAGGTAGAAGGGCGCATAGGTCTTGGGAGAATCCCACTTTTCCCTTCCCAGGGGAATTAGGAACTCAGGTGCCCCAGGGGGTGAGGTAGGGTGAGAGGTGGAGCTGAGCAATGACCTTGGGGAATGACT